AGCCTACAAACTGATGGCAGGAGGAAGAACAGGGCATACAGTGAAATTCCATTCCCAGAGACCAAAGTTTATTGCTACTCTCCATTTGTCCAACTTTGTGGGATACCACTTTTCAACCACTGATAAACAATGAACAGGTCACTTTGAATTAGACTATTTGGACTCTTTCTGGAGTCAAAAGATAAAATAAATACAAATTTTAAAAAACAGATAAGAGTATTTGCAGTACAACATTCTAAAAAATAATAATTTGATTCCCAGTACCTTCTGAAATAGGGAAAAGAAAGGTAGGTAGAAGCATTGCGAATGAGATGATAAATTATTCGCAATCTTCTGAAATTTCAACACGAAGGCCCAAAATAATCAGGGATGTCTTAGATTAGAAATTGGAGATTATTTTAGTTATGACTTTTAAATACTATATTCAAGATAAGCCTGTGGTCTCGAAATAGTCATACTCAATATGGTCTATCATACTCTTAAAAGTGTCCCAATTTATTTGAAAATTTTTTTTTAAAGATTTTATTTATTTATTTGACAGACAGAGATCACTAGTAGGCAGAAAGGCAGGCAGAGAGAGAGAGAGAGAGAGAGAGGGAGAGGAGGAAGAAGGCTCCCCGCTGAGCAGAGAGTCCCAGGATCTTGGGATCATGACCCAAGCCGAAGGCAGAGGCTTTAACCCACTGAACCACCCAGGTGCCCCTGAAATTTGTATTTTTGGTGCATGTTGTACCCAATAAAAAAACACTAGGAATCTTTTTTCCCCTTAGAACTGCTGTTGCTAAATAGCTTCCCCCCCAAAAAAAATGTCCCTACGATCCCAAAGAAAAAAACACCCGATTATAAACCTTCTAGCCATGTAAGAATTAGACAAAACATAAATCAAGGTGCATGACACTCATAATTTTAATCCACAGTAAAATCTGAGCACATTAGTAAGCTTGTGATGATACAAGTCTGTGTCCTTCCAGTGACTGAAATCTAAAAGCAGATCTATCATCAAGCAAAAGAACCAAACAGGAACCACCCATATTCCTATTGATCATGAGTGTTTTGGATGAGACAAGAACATGTTCTTTAGCAAAAGAGACTTAAAATGAACTCAAGGAAAGTTAAGTTTATCAGTGAAACATTTTAATTGAAAATATATCATTTGTACCGATATGTTTTCAATTAAAATGTTTCATGGATAAATCTAATTTTCCCAAGTTCATACTTGCTTAAATGATCGGTTTGACAAAATAAAATTAGTATACGTTACTTTTCTATATATGGAGAAAGAAGAGGACTGGCAGTTTTGAAACTAATTTCCTTATTTTCTCAAGTTGTATAAACAAGCGATGTCCCTTTAAATGAAAATGGGAGAAATGGAAACAGAAGGATAAAAAAATCACATACTGTCCTTCCTTCCAAAATTGACCACTATGATCATTTGTAGGTATTTCTTGGTGTTCTTTTCTTTCCTTTCCTTTTTTTTTTTTCTCGTAGTTTGGTTGTGAAGTTTAACATACATACAGAAAAGTGCATAAAACATATAGGTACAGTTTAACAAATGGTTAAAAAGTGATTGCCAGTGTGGGGCGCCTGGGTGGCTCAGTGGGTTAAAGCCTCTGCCTTCAGCTCGGGTCATGGTCCCGGGGTCCTGGGTTCGAGCCCCACATCAGGCTCTCTGCTCAGCGGGAAGCCTGCTTCCTCCTCTCTCTGCCTACTTGTGATCTCTGTCAAATGAATGAATAAACTCTTAAAAAAAAAAAAAAAAGTGATTGCCAGTGCAACCACTGCCCAGAACAAGAAATTAAACAGTGCTGGGAGCTCCTCATCCTACTTATCCCTTCCCTTACCCTCACTGAAGTCACCCATCCTGACATGGTAGCCAATCCCTTGCTTTCCTTGATAAATTTACCTCCTACACAGTTGCCATTCACATATGCATCCCTTAATTGCACACTCTTCAAAAAAGATTTATTTTATTTATTTGAGAGAGAGAGTGTGTGTGCAGTGGGAGGGGCAGAGGGAGAGAATCTCAAGCAGACTCCATACTGAGTGCAGAGCCTGAGGTGGGGCACGATCTCGTGACCCTGAGATCATGACCTGAGCCAAAACCACAAGTTGGACACTTTACCCAACTGTGCCAAGCCAGGAGCCCTTTTGGGGCCTTGCTTTTTAAGACTTCGATATTATGATCATAAAATTTACCCCTGCTTTTGTATGTAGCTGTAGCTTAATGTTCATTATTGTGTAGTGTTCCGTTATATGAATTTATCTATTTATCTGCTAATGGGCATGTGGGTTGTTGCTGAGTGGAGAGTATGATGAACAGTGGGTGCCCTGATGCGGATATTCATGCATCTCGTATGTACTTTGGAGTGTAACGGGTGGTCATAAGGTATGGGTTTCAATCATATTTAAATACTAAACATAATTTTCTTTTTTTTTTTTAAGATTTTATTTATTTATTTAACACAGAGAGAGAGATCACAAGCAGGCAGAGAGGCAGGGAGAGAGAGTGGGGGAAGCAGGCTCCCTGCTGAGCAGAGAGCCTGATGTGGGGCTCAATCCCAGGACCCTGAGATCATGACCTGAGCCGAAGGCAGAGCCTCAGCCCGCTGAGCCACCCAGGTGCCCCTAAACATAATTTTCTAAGTAGTGTTTTTATTATTTTGTAGTTATAATAACCATCATTTTTTTGGATAAATAATCTTCCATTGGTGCCTAAATTTTGTAGCCTGGTCTTTTGTAACAGATTTACTCCTGCACTTTCTAATTTGTTCATAAAAGTGATACAAAGTCCTAAAACTTATAGAATTTATAGCAGACATACAGTCACATGAACTATGGTCTTATGTAGACAGTGGTGTTTTGTTCATTGTCATAGAAGGTACTGAAGCAAATATATTTAAAATAACTCTTAGGGAATTTTTTGGTTGAGTTGTACGGTATGACTGCCATAGTAATATTAGCCAATACCTATATCATACCACATAATTATCATCTCTTCTTGTGTTGAAAACAATTAAAACCTAGTCTTTAACAAGTTTAATGTTTATAATACAGTTTTATTATCTATAATCACTGTAATGGGTATTAAGTCTTTAGAATTTACTTACTAGTTGCAAATGTATGTATCTTTAAACATTTCTCAGAGAGAGAAATGTTTAATCAGAGAGAGAAATGTTTAAAAGACATGGTGAATGTTTTCCCTGCCAGGAAAGCCTTAAAATTCAGCTTAACCTTTCTGTTAAAGTTTCACTGTTTAGCTGCACAAATCTGTGATAAATTAAAATTAAAGTGTCATATTTTCCGAAGTCTGCCCTTTGACATCTTCCTGACTTCTTTTAGAGGTTTCTCCAAGCAGGCTCCCTGCCCCTCTACTTTGTACACTACCTCACTATCCACTAAAACCTTTCAATATGCTTTGACACAGGGACCAAGGTTGCTAAGAGACCACCTGCGCCGAATGCACTTTGTTCTAGCAAGAGCTTGCGGAGTGAACCCCGGGAGTGGGGTTATCTACCATTACCTGGGATTAAGTCAGGTGAGAAATGGGTTTCTACTCACTCATTAGTCCCCACCCGCTACCTGGTCTTTCCCACACTTCCCATCTCAGCCTCTTGCTGTTGTTGAAGGAAAGTAAAAGTGCCCTTCAGAGCACAGATGAAAGAAACACAAGCTGGAGGCCGTAGGAATGAAAGAAATCACTTTACAAACTTGTATATTCTTCTCACCCATTGCTTCCAAAACATAGGCGAAAGGAATCTTTGAATGTCAGGGAAATTCTAGGTGTTTACTTTGCCAGTGACTGCTGCGTAGTTTGGGTCATGTCATTCCCTCCTCCAGGAACGGGGCTAGTTATTACAGAACTTAAACCAGATTGCTGAAATGGGAGAAAACAATACCGTAGAAACCTCATCTAGTCCTCTCTCTTACAACTCAACCTGCCTTTTTGGTTTTTGAGTGAAAATAGCAAAAAGTATTCTTCTACTCCAACATTGCCACTTTTAAAAAGTATTGACACTTCTTTTGAGTGTATAAAAGGAACTCTGATGCAAGTCTTTGAAAACTGCTTGATTTATTTGACCTTGCATTCCTGAAAAAGGAGTTCAAAACGGTTCTAAACTCCCTCCCTGACAGGCGTTCATTTGGTAAAATGTTCCAGCAGTGTGCTGCACAGAACTCACATTAATACCTTTTAAAATTCCGTAATATTTTTTGAAATTGATATCTTATTAAGTGACCAAAATAATGAGAGAGAGGATCTTGAGGAAAGATCAGGACAATGAAAAAGACCTTTTGTTGTTTAATTAAAAAAAATTTTGTCACCTGCCTTTTTCTGTGTCTTCTAATTCTCATTTCCTGGTGATGCCACCCATACAGGTGGGAAGAATGGCAATTTCACGGATGCCAGTAGAAATGATGGTAAATAACTTTGTAGATAAGATTTCATAAAAAACTAATTACACGATAACATGACAAGAGAGTGGTCATTCTGCTAGTTCCTTGAACTGTTTCTTTTTCTTTCTTTCTTTCTTTTTTTTTAAGATTTTGTACATTTATTTGGCAAAGAGAGATAGAGTGAGAGCACACAAACAGGGGGATCAGCAGGCAGAGAAAGAAGCAGACTCCCTGCTGAGCAGGGAGCCCTATGCAGGGCTCAATCCCAGGACCCTGGGATCATGACCTGAGGCTAAGGCAAGAAGCTTAACCGACTGAGCCCCAAGTGCCCCAAGCTGTCCCTTTTTAGAAAGAAAGGCATATTTGACATGGAGAAAAATGTCTGATTATGACATAAAGTGGTCAAAATGAGTGGGTGGAAAATATTTTAATTAATTAGGGGGAAAAGTATTTTAGTTTATTGGTGGGTTACAGATGTGTACAGATATTCCCTCATCACTATTTTTTACAGTACAACTATTCCACTGAGGTTAAAGAATCAGGATTATAAATATGTTTATTTCAAGATACTTTTCTCTTTTCCCCCATCAGGGAGCAAGAGCATTCTGGATATGATGTGTAAAAACTGGATATTAATGTCTACTACTATTCCTGCAAGTCCAGAAGATGAAATTCTTGGAAGACTTCTAAAAATTTTGTTTGTTATCTTTGTTGACTTTATGTGTATTATATATGTCATTATAACTTCCTAAAGAGCTGAATTCCCTTGCTTCACATGTAAATTTCACATTAATTCCACTGAATAAAATTTGTAATTTAATTCTTTGAGTGATTTTAATTTGCTAATATTCTAGAAGCCAAAAGGACATTACAATCAAAACAATATCGTGTATTGCTTAGGTTATAAGGTTTATAAAACATTATAAAAATTGATTTTTTTCTCCCAGAAATCTACACTACTGAGTTATAAAACTTCTTGACTTTTTAATATGATTGTAATTTGGTATATTGACTAAAATTTGTAAGTGTAAGTATGGGTGATTTTTTTTCAGGATGCATAACTACATGAAATTTTATATGGTTCTATTTTTAACACACCAAGCTTAACATATGACAGTCTTTCCATACGATATGCCAGTAGTTTATACTCATTTTCTTACACACTTATCTCATCTGTGTGGAGGTAGGTATGTTTTTCCGAACCCTGGACGATTTTATGTTTCTATCAACAAGAACTTAAAGTTAGGAATAGAAATACCGTAAAGAGATTCTTTTAAGAAAATAGAAGTTACAAGAGAGGAGAGAAAACAGGAGCAATGTGTCGATTTTCTATTTGGGTCTAAAGGCTCCCAGTATGTCATTTAATGTAAGGCTCACAATAATTCTAGGAGGCAGCTTTGTTGCCCTCATTTTACAGAAGGAAAAATGGGATGTTGGGGAGAAATATGCTAACTTGAGACCAAAACGAGGAAGTGACAGAACCAGGTCTTGGGCCTTCGCAATCCACATTATGTTGCCACCAAAGGTAAATAATTAGAAGAAGAGTGTGATTAAAAACCAATCTGCAGAGCTCAGCTTCTTCGCACAATGTTTTAGTCAAGTCATTAGGGCTGTATTTTTTTTTTTTTAAGATTTTATTTATTTATTTGGCAGACAGAGATCACAAGTAGGCAGAGAGAGAGGCAGGCAGAGAGAAAGGGGGAAGCAGGCTCCCTGCTGAGCAGAGAGCCTGATGAGGGGCACGATCCCAGGACCCTGAGACCATGACCTGAGCCGAAGGCAGAGGCTTTAACCCACTGAGCCACCCAGGTGCCCCTTAGGGCTGTACTTTTATATCACCACTATTTATTTTCTTATTCTGCATTTAAAAATCTTTTATGAAAGAGACATCAATTACCCTGCTTGACGATGTTTTCTTGATTTTTACTTGTTTTCTTGATTTCCTCATTTTCTGACAGTGTTAAAATATAACTCTTGAACTTCTGCTTTTTAAGCTTCTGAAAAGCAAAGGTCACTCTGTCCTTTAGACTTTCTGACTTTTTACATTGGACACACATGCTTCACCAAATTCTGATTTCCTCCATGTGATGACCATTTTCTCAGATTTGGCCCAATCATTAATGCAAGATTTCATAAGAGGCCTAATGAAGTGTGAAAGGAATCTGGGACCTTTGAGACTTATTACTTAACCGACTCTTACTTAACCTTTCAGTGGTGTTGTGTATTTAACCATAAGCCAAGCAGAGTCAAACTCCTTGCACACTTGCTGTAACAGAAAATCCTACTTTTTCTACACTATATATTCACACCCTTCCTTTTGGATATAAGAGTCATGTCCTGGGCACCTGGGTGGCTCAGTTGGTTGAGCGACTGCCTTGAGCTCAGGTCATGATCCCAGACTTCCAGGATCGAGTCCCGCATCGGGATCCCAGCTCCTTAAGGAGTCTGCTTCTCCCTCTGACCTTCTCCTCTCTCATGCTCTCTCTCACTCATTCTCTCTCAAATAAATAAATAAAATCTTTAAAAAATAAAAAAAAAGAGTCACGTCCTGTTGATGTATAATGGGTTTCTCTCCACTTCCCTGTATTTGGGATTTGTTGCGGGCCTATATTATCAGGTTACTGACAGGAGAGCAAAGTCACTCCATCTTCTAGAAATTGTTTTTCTTCCCCCCTGTCTGCTTCCAGGCAGTAGACAATGTGGTTAGAAGCACTGACTATGAAGCCAGATTACGTGTGTCCAAATCTGGGCTATGCCTCCTATAGTTTAATAACCCTGCGTCTCCCCTCCCTGACCTATAAAACAAATGCCTGTGTCCCAGGTTTGTAGAGAGGATGAAATGAGATGACCATGCAAAATGCTTAGCATAGTTCTTGGTGTATGGAAAACTGAAAACTGTGACAGACTGGTGTTATCAGCATCCTCAGGGAGAAGCACAGGTGACTTGGCTTCCTTCAAGCTGAATGTTAGTGGGTCTCAGTCACCTGCCTGTCCTACATGCCCCCCTTGCTCTCAGAATGACCTCACATTAACCCATTCCCTGCGAGTGTGACTGTTTGCCACTGGCCCAGCAGAGTTCTGGGCGAGGTGTAGGTCTAAACCTGTTGACAGTGCAGGCCTCCTTTGGGGATGTTATTTTGGGACCTGGCAATTACAGCTAGGTACAGTATGACTTGCGACAACAAAGGAACACTGGTAAATATCTTCTTGCAATAAGTAGAGTCTTGGCTTTATAATCAGAAATATATTGTGTGTTTTTTTTTTTCACTGTTCAAAAATATTCATTCAATTCCTTTTTGCCAGGCATGGTGTTGGATAACCTGGGCAAAGTAGTGAACAAAGCATACTTTTCCTGCTCCCAGGGAGCTCAGAGTCCAGTGGGTGGGGGGATGAATGGATACCCAAAGGGTTCAATTGCAATGGGGTGAGTAGTAGACAGAATATGCCTGGGAGGGTGTGGTGTCGTGGAGGACGTTCTCCAGCAGCAGAGTCCAGGGATCCTGTTAGACATGCAGAACCCTAGCTTCCCCGCAGACCTACTGAATTCAGAAGCTGCACTGTAACCAGATCCCCAGTGATTCATATGCATGCTACAGTTGGAGAAACACTTACGTGGAAGGAAGCTTACTGGACTAAGTGTTCCTACTGTCTGGCTAGTGGACAGATAACGTGACCTCTGGGCAAGTTGCTTAACCTCTCTGGGTCTCATACTCCTCCTGAATTAAAATAGAACAGAATGAAGAAATACCAAAAATGGCATAAATACTACCTGCTTTTCAGAACACGTAGAAATATTGTGAATTTTAAACGAACTGAACGGAAACACACAGAAACGCCTTACAGAAAACAGTTATATAAAATAAGACGTCATAAACATCAAGAAGACAGGAGTAACTCTGGGAGGTAAAGGACCCATGACTCCTTTTAGGAGAACTGGAAATGGATTGTTCTTCTAAATGGCAACCATATCCACTGCACAGATGCAGGTCTGCAGCCTGGATTAGGTAACGTGTGTTTTCTTGGATGAATTTCTATGGAGTTTCATAGAACTTAACATCCACAGGCACTGTTATAGTCAATGCTCCAGCTGAACTGGGTGATGTTTTTTTTTAACTTGCCACTAATACATATGAATCGTCTGGCCATGCCTGAGCTCATATGTCTACACGCTGTCAATTTCATAATCTCGGTATCAACTCAAGTGTCCTTGCATCCTTCCCAGTTCTGCAGTCCTTGGAGAACTTCAGGAGAGAGGTCAGAAGTTGCTTGCTAGAATCCTCCTAATTCATCAATGGCAACACCTGAAGTTGGAATGGGCTGTGCTAAATGTTTTGCATACATTATGCAATTTAATCTGTACTAACAGATCTATGAGGTATTTCCACTCTGTAGTTGAAGAGATGCTGGCTCAGATGAATTAAGTACGATGGCCAAGTTCACACAGGACATCCCGACGGTGGTCACACCGCTGAAAGTGAGAGAACCAAGACCCTCGACGCAAAACGATCTGCCTCTAGAACTCTGTTCTTGACCATTCAGTTATCCTCACATCAAGTCATAGAGGTTAATTTCCTCACTGGCTCTTTGCTTGGAAGGGCAAGAAGTTTGCACTGAATGAAGCAGCCTAATCCTATGCTGAAGGAGGCAACAAGTAAAAGGCAACCTGTTGCATATAACCTACTGTATTGTGACACCTTGCAATGTGATGACTATCTACCTTACGAGCGCTGGTCTTTCTAAGGCTTCTGTCTATAATAAAAGGGCATATGTACTCTCCGATCATTGAGTCCCATTGCTGCATGTTATCAAATATGAAGTCAGTCTTTATAAAAAGGAAGTCTTGGATTATTGTGCTGCATTCGATACACAAAGAAATGGAAGTCATGTCCATAAAATTATTTCATGTCCATTTCTTAATAATCGAAAAATCTCAAATACTATTTTGAGCAATTTGTCCCCAAAGAACTCACAAGGGACATCTTGGTAAATGTGCCCATTGCTTGGGCTTAGTACTAACATCTTTTGAGTGGCAAGCACTCTACAGTTTACGCATTAACTTCAGTGTTTACTTGATTGAAATGACTTACAAAAAAAAATAAGCCAGGTAGCTACTCCGAGTTAGCGCTCTGGGGCAGGACTGGGGTGGACTGCTGCTGTAGAGACTGGGACCGAGGTTTGGGAGAGAATCTTCAACGTGTGGTGTTTGTGTGAGGACGCGGAACAGGTTTTTGTTCTGGGCTGTTCTCTGCGCCACGGTTATTTGCTAACCCCACGGGGAGCAGTCCTACTAACTGAGCAAACTGAGGGCGTGTTGCCATGTAGGCCAGTTTGGGATCAGCCATGAACGCAGACTTATTTATAAACCTACAGGAAAGGCCCCTTGAGTGTGCTCTGCCTTCTGACCGGGAATGACGGTGAGAGATTAGTGAGAGAGCACGGGAAGTCCTTGAAGGCCAACTGGGTTTCCAGCCTGGGCATCTGCTCTTTCAGCCAGGAGCTGGCTATAGACTGTTCTCTGGATGGTCAGTGTCCCTGGACTGGTGTGCTCTCAAGGCACAGAGACTGACCTTTGGGTGTTGTTTACGAAGTTGATTATAACTTGCACTATGGAGATCATTTGCTCAATAAATATTTAACAAGCACTCATTGCCTGTCTGGTAGTGCTGCTGTAGGCACGGGGAAAGATCGCGGGCCCTGTCCTCACAGAGCTTGCCTTCTGATGGGGGAGGCAGACAACAGACTGATAAAGTCA